GGAAGAAGATGATGTGACATGGGCCGTGAGGGAAGAGGCTGAGGTCGTCGGCTCAGCGCTCTTCCCTCACTGTAAATAATCTGGTAAATCTACTATTGTTTGCTAACTGCCCTGGCTTTGAAAGTTGTCAGTTGTGTGTTTTGGGCGGAATGACCGACCAATGGACTGAAATTTAGACTACAGTGGCAGCTTAGTGTGGTCTTTTTTTGCATCCCCACTCAGCTGGACTCCGGGTCACTGTTTACCTGTCCATGCGCCCGCGCCATCTACCAGCTTGTATCTTCGCGACTAGGTTTTGACGCCGCAACCAGGTGGGGGAGTGGAATAAGTACTAGCGTAGATGTAACAGACGTCACATCTATTCAAAAATATAAAGGAACATCACCTGACTGAGTAAGGATGAAGTCGGAAGCATGCATAGCGCTATTCTCCTGCACACTGTTGATTCTGGACATCGTTTTTACCTAACTATCCCCTCCGCATGATTAAGAAGGTCCCACTATACTACCCCAATACCATTTGGTCAGCGTCTGTCAACAACAACAGAAGCGACGCCTGCTAGTTTGCGGAAGCCGGTCTTGCGTGCAGAAATGAACCCCCCGCAAGCTCCGCATCGAGCATGGCAAACGGTGGTTTGACTGCATGCACAGTTCCACGCTGTCGCTCCTCCGCTACCCCATCTCCGTTGATCGGATACACCAAAACCTAACAGCAACATACCAACAGGTACTGTATGGACCCCCGCCATTTCTCTGTTTTTCCATGTTTAACTTTAAAGAAATCACGAATAAAATTGACCGCGTATTTTACCTATGACTGTGATCCCGTATAAAGGAAACGGCTCTAAGAGAAAGCTTACGTACGTTTGGCAACTGCTGCTTTAAATTCTGTATTATTCAAATCCAAAGCCGCGCAATTCCTGCAAGCGAATAAATGTATATATATATATTTTTACGAATTATTTAAGGGTCACCCGAACTAGCAGAACTCTGCAAATACATAGTATATCATAATTTCCAATATACGTACTTTACTTATTCCAAGCTCTGTTTTACAAACTACAGTAGTCGCCAAAGACCACGCAACTTTCACAACTTTATATAGGTTTGATCCTTACTGGAATACCAGTGTGAATGCGTTTAGGAAAACTTAGAAATAATAATGAACGGCATTAGGCATATTACGTACTTAAAAGAACTATAGTAATTACTAAGTGTTTGTACAGAAAAATAAAATTTTCTCCATACGCTCGTAGTTCTCGAGACGTAAAAATGAACTATAAATTAGAACGATAAATTTAGATTTTGTGTTAAATTGAAGACTTGAAGTAACCACTTTCTATGTATAGAAATAACTTTTCCTAAGTCAAAATATTCCGTAAATTTTACCGTTACTCGATAAGCATTTATTGAATGTCGTCGATAAAAGTGTGTCATCATTTTCCTTGTTTTTACTGTGTTCATTGATAAATTTATAAATTTTGGATCTGTTCGACGCTTACACCAAAATCTTTAAAATAAGATAGATATAAAGAGCATTTACCGAAAAAAAGTTTTTTCCGAAATTAGTTTTAATGAATATGGCTCCGTTTTTGATTTAAAGGAAAGCCTCAAAACAGCAAACCACATTGCCGAGAGTGAATCTTATCCGCACTGGAGTTGTGAAAATACAATTCCTAAGATTGATAAAAAAACTTTCCATGAAAGGTAACCTCTTAGAAAGTGCTTTGATTAGATATTCGGCTGACAAACTTCTGCGTATATTAACTTTTTCCAACGTGATATCGCAATGAAATA